CCCTCGAAGGACTGTCGAGCATCTTTTGTCGACAGAGAAAGATGGGGGGTGCAAGAGGTCCGGTCAGACTCTGGTCTGAAGGGCTGAGAGTGACGGGAGCTCTGCAATGTGCTAAGTGTTCGAGCATGTGCTCGAGGCTTGAACCTAGTGGTTGTTGTAGTGTGTGAGTGAACTGATCGATCTCCTCTTTTGGAAGAGAGCGCATCCCCTTTTATAAATGAAGGGGATGGCCTTACAAGTGAGAGAGGGAGAGTGTACGTATGCTAAGTCTTGTTGCACAGGCCGTCGGGTATAAGATGATTGTAGGCGCCCATAACACTATTAATGTCGGATGCATGTGGGAGGTTGCGTCTTCTTCTTCTAGTATGGCAGATGTCGGTGCCTGCCATACTGTTGATGCCCAGAGGCATATAGGGGTTTTTACCATGTTCGTCTGGTATGGTAAATGCTGGCGCCCACAACACTGTTGATGCCTAGAGGCATGTGGGGGGAGTCTTACCATGTTTGTTTGGTATGGGAGTTGATGCCGCCCCACACATCAGAGGGAAAATGTCGACGTCCACAACCTTGCTTTGGGTTCGACATGCCGGGGAAGGTTGTTGGGTCTTATCCCGCAGTGTCTGAGGATACGGTCCTCGGTATTGCGGTTGACTTGAGTGCCCTGCCTTACTTTCTCCATCCGTTTCCTGGTCCCCACCGAGCGGGCGTCCCCGGTCGGTTGGTCCTAGTTGGCTCTGATTGCGCCAGTTGGAGAAGAGCTGTAAGCAGGGGTTCGGCGCATCCCCAGTCGGAGACGCGGGTCGGAGTTGGAAGTGGTGTTTGGCCAGGCCTTCCGGTCAGAGAGGTCGTCCGGAGGCAGGCCGAAGTCATAAGCGAGCGCTGTTCTTCCTTAGTGAGGCCTTCCGGTCGGAGAGGCGGGCCGGAGTCAGAAGCGGGTGCCGTTCCTCCTTGGCTAGGCCTTTTGGTCGGAGATTAGATCGCCCTTCTGCCCTGTCGTTTAGCTATTTGGGCCGGCCCAGGAGTTGCGCGTCGTTCGTAATGTTGTCTGCTGGGCCGAGCCTTTGTTAGGAAGCCGGTCCAAAAGGGAACTCGGGTTTATGAACCTGACACTGAGTGTCAGGCTATGTCGGCTTGGACCGGCCTCTCCCAGGCGCACCTTCTGGAGTCTTTTTGGTGGCGAGGGAGGTCGGCTTGAGGGGCTGACACGTGGGCCCGGAAGCCCCTGAGCCCCTAGAGGCCGAGGAGAGCTTGTCCTCTTGTGTCATGCCCCGTGCATGACCTTATTGGGGGAGCGGCCGGCAAGGCCACGCCCAAAGTGCTACATCGAGGAGCCCCAAGCCTCGATGGCTCGGGGCATGTCTTCTTGTGCCCGGGCCTTGGTTGGCATCGTAGGACGGGCAGGAGCCAGGGATCGGGCTCAGGTTCCCTATCGATCGGGAGCCTAAGGCTCGGGCTAGCCCTCGAGCCCTGAGTAGAGGCCTTGGTGTGCTCAGGCTCGGTCAAGTTCCTTAGTCTGAGGGTGCGCACGAGCGTACCCGATGGGTATAGCCCCCGAGCCCCTGAGTGATCCTGGAGGGATCAGTTGGGGGTCTGTTCAGTCGGGAACCATAGATCTTGAGGCTTAACATACCCATATGTTAGGATCTCGTTAGATGACATCATCATAACGGGGCCTTATGGTTTTCCTTGAAGGATGCAATAGTAATGACAGTGCACCCCGCTATCTCTCCCCTTCCCTCCGCCGACCTATATAGGGCCATAGCCTCGTGTCGCGTTGTTTCTTTTCATGAAACCCTAGTAGCACTGTCACCACAGCACTCCACCGCTTCCTATGCTTAATTGACACCACAGCACTCATACGCGGTGAGGTAAGGAGTGGTTGAGGCCAATCTTGTTTAGTTTCATCTTGTTTAGTGTGCGCTATTACTCGTCAGACCTCCTTAGTTTGAGCAGGGCCGCCTCTACGTACTAATGTCCACCGTTGTCCTTCTACTATCGTCGTGGACAAGTTTGCACAATCATCTACACCTTCTTAGGCATCTCGCAAGTGTCATAGAGAGTTCATCAAGCCACACCACCACCAAAGCCGCCTTAGGTGCACAAACTCTCACTTGACCCAACCAAGCTTAATGAGAAAAGTAGATGCACAATTTTTGCTCTCTAAACATTAATGGAGTCCTTAATCTTCAAATAAGACTTCCTAATCACTCCAATAGGCCAAATCACTCTTGTGGACTCAAGTATGTGTATCTATCTGCCCTTGCTTCCAAGAGAGCTTCAATGCACAAGAAGAGGGAGTATATATAAGCCAAGCGCCAAAAACTAGCGATTGAAACTCCACTTAGCTGAAAAACAAACACTAGTTTTCTCCAGTGAAGTATGCTAGAGAATTCAGGTGGCCTCTAATAGACACAAATCCAAACCGTAACTATACAGACATTATCCAACAAGAACTCCGGTGGTACACTAGAGAATTCGGGTGACATTGTTTCACCTTGGCCTTAAATGGAAAATTATAATATGCGAGCATTGCTACGGGCATCGCTATGGCAGTATTTTTTGGAGGTCGTAAATGTTTCAAGTGTGGTCTATGGTGTTGCCTTCAAGGCATTAGAGGTGGAATCATCTAAGTCTTGTTGACTTGAAGACTATGTCTGGCACTAACCACTTCGGTTGTTTTGTTCTTGCATTTGCTTTTGCGAAGGATGGCAAACTCATGTGTATTGATTTCTCTTGGTCCCACCTTCTGGTTCCCCACCTTTGGGTTTCAATCTGGTTTTTGTGAAGGTTCTGTACAGCTTCACACTAGATAGCTTTGATTGTGTCCTTGCTGATGGATTCATTCTAAGGAGGGTTTGGAAATTAAGTTATTGGTAACTGATGTGATGAATGATTTCCTCTGTAAGATTGTTTCTTCACCGAACAAAAGCTTGAATGGTGTGAAGTTGGTGGCTCTTGACTCGGAGATATTGTGTGGCCAAACCACAACTATGAGTTCTTCTCTGGCCATTTTCCCTTTGATAGCCTAGACAGTTTTTCTGGCAATGCCTAAGAGAATGATGTCGTTTGCCTTGTCTACTAAGCCGTTTGACTCTGGATCACTTAAAGATTATGATAATCTAGATTCTAGATAGTATTTGTAGAATCTAGCTATAGATAAAAAAAATAGATCCCCTAGAATAGTGGCGAAAGATGTTTAACACCTAATATCTTTAAATAGTAGAGTGGAGGTCGATAACTGGATTCTCATAGTTTGGTGGTTAGTTTATATGAATCCTCTCAATCCATATGTTTGGATCTTTTTTTTTTAATTTTTTCACCCCAGTACCATAACTTCAGGAGATCTAAATAAGCACTATGTAGTAGCGATGGTCATCTTACTTTGCAACCATAGTCACTAAATAACTCGTTGCACGGGATAGCATCTTTAGCTTTGATAACTGCTCTCTTATTGCCACTACATTCCACAACAATGTGAGCCAACACATGATAGTATTAACGCTCTACAAACATATGACATTAACGCGCACAACTATTTTAACGGCTTTGACCCCACGATCGAAGCCGTTTTGATCCATAATATCAGTATATACAATAGTCTATTTTTGTTTTAATATAACTATTCATCGCTGACTCGTTGCAAAAGAAGTAATCTACCACCACAAATAACTTCTAAACATACAACCATCATCATAAATCATGGCCAAATCGTGAGATAGATAATCTATAAACGACTGCCAAAATGTAAACAACCGTGGAATATAGCCAAGACAAAGAAACGAGCCAAAGGTAGGCTGGAGAGACGGAAGGAGAAGGAAAGCGGAGCACAGGAGACAGGCAGCTTGTTCAGTTGATTGGTTTGTTTTGTTCTTAAATCGAAAGAAATCTTGAAAAACATTATTTCGGCTGATGATCGTTTTACGACGAGCTACGGCGAGAGGAGAGGGAAGGGGAGCTAAACCTAGACCCGATCCGATTATTCAACAGCCACCCTCCCCCGACTCCATTTCACCACACCTCTTCCCCCCCTCCCCTTCTCTCCGACTCGACTAGGGCGCCCGCGCACGCCGCCGCCCCCCTCCGCCGCCGCCGCAGCCGACGACGACGAGCGGACGGGAAACAGGGAGAGCTCTCGATCTCCGCGCGGGCCGTGGGGGCGCACGCACGGCGCGCGTGGCGGCCTCCCCGGTCGGGGGTCAGATCCGAGCTGAATCGGGGAGATTTCCCGGCCAGGTGAGCATTGCGGCGCGGCCCCTCCCGATCTAGAGACGGCTCGCTCGGTCTGGTAGGCTGGGTTCCCTCGCGAGAACGGGTCCGGCGCGCGCTTGGATTGGATTGGGTTAGTCGGGCCCTGTTCCAGGCTCCCAGTCAATTCGTTCGTTCATTCGGTGGTGGTTTCGGAGGCAGCTGCAGTGTGTAATTCTTGCGGTTTCGGAAAGTAATCCAGCTCCGATTTATGATTTATCATGTATTGTTTGATCCCCTGGAGGCTTTCTTCAGCTCTTTTGACGCTAGATTATTGCTTTTGGATAAGGCTAGTCACTTCCTCTTGAAATTTGAGGAGGTTTTGCGGTCAGGAATGGTGTTACGGGGATTAGAAAGCATTCCTGATATCATGAGACATGAATTCACTCTTTTGGATGTTACTTTTGCTCCAATGGTGTCTTGAATATGTATGTGATTCCAGGGTTCGATTGCCATTTCCTTTTTGTTGTCTCATTGTCTGCATTGCCTGCTTGGTACCATGCATGCTTTTGCGGCCACTAGGCACGAGATGCATGGAGCAATGACTTATGTAGACTGGCTAGTTAGCAATTGTTTGTACTGTCTACAAAGCTTATTACTTTTGGGACCTATCTCTGTAGCCTCGCTTTTGGATTTCTCCTTTTTTTAATCTCTGGTCGTCTAGCAAAACAGAAACTTACCATTCTAGTTTCTTGAAACTGCAGGAAGGAAAACGACAAGTGCAACGAAGCTGTACTTGTTCAGGTGACAGGATAATGGCTGGCACTTTGACTGAGGACAATGGTGCGGATGCTAGATCCTCATCAACTGAAGAGATGCCAAGTGATCAACAGAGTCATTCTGGGGATTCTTTAGCTGAGTGGAGGTCAAGTGAGCAAGTTGAGAATGGAACACCATCCACTTCACCAGCGTACTCAGACACTGATGATGATGACTGTGGTATGTTTTCCAACTCTTCTCACATTTGTCAGTATCTCTTCCTTGCAAATGCTTTTAGCTAGATCTTTCTAATCTTCCTTCTGATGTTATGATATTATGTGGACCAGCTAGATTTATCTATTCCTAGGTAATTTGTTCCATGAGGAGTCTCAACTAAATTGGTTAAGGTACTACTTAACCCATTTAGGTATGATTCAGTGCAGTCTAAATGTCTAATTACTTGCCCATGCAATAAGATGATACCTTTAGATACTTGTATCGCCCTTAGGAAGTTTAGTTTTTCACTGCAGTTGTTTGGGTCAATTTTTTAGGTTTAGGATAACTAGCTTCTTGAGGAATCAGGAGCATTGTTGAAGCCTTGTACCAATGGATCATTCATTGGTTTCGCACGGGCAAGAACAGTAGATGTAGAGATGTACTAAAAAGATGATAGCTGTGATACTTGTCATGAATGGTCTAAAAAAGTGAGTGTGTATAGGGAGACTGTCCTGACTTGTGACTTGTTTGGTCGTGGGGTCTGTCTGTGGTAGATAAATCTTGATCACTAAATGCTTTTTCTTACCTATTAAAATTGTCCTGCTGCAGGAGACTTTGAAGTCAAGTTGATTTTTTTCCTGTTATCCTGTAAGTCAGTAGCAGGTGTTGACAGCAGCAGGCTAAGTACAATCCACTGAACTATTGTGGCAGAGTTAGGTTTGTAGTATCAAGTCGCTTTGTCAAACCGACTTAATCCTCTGTACTATAACTATAAGCTAGTGTAACATAAAAGGCTGCCTTGTGAGTTGCAGCACCAAAAGCTATGTCTAGTGTGCAAGAGATTTCCAACAATCCCAATATCAGTTATTTAGATCAACTTGAGACAACCGCAAAGGCACCCCTTATTTGTAACTTGAGGGAGTATTTAGCTTTTTGTGTTTTGTGTGAACATTACTGAGTTGGACATATTTTTTCTTAAAGTTGGCTTGTAAAAATGAGATGATGATTATCCTAGTTTTTATTCTACTGGATTACTGTTTCTGATAAGCTGATTTATATGGTCTGTGCATTTCAACCTTTGCAATATTAAATATTTTGGCATCAGTTGGTGCTTGACCTAGTAATTCCATTGTGTATTTGTCTTGTATAGGACCTAGGCCTTCTGAGCTTTATGGGAAGTTTACATGGAGAATTGATAATTTCTCCCAAATCAACAAGAGAGAGCTAAGAAGTAATTCCTTTGATGTTGGTGGATTTAAGTGGTATGGTCTTATTGTCATTAATTGGACCGTTTCCTTTTTATGTTTCTACTGTGCTGTATCTGGGCTTCTTACTTGCCTGCTATTTGTGATTTGGCTATTATTCCCACTGTACCTAAAAGAAAGTCATTATAGATTGTCTTAAGTCAAATATCCTATCCTATTGATCAAGTTTGTAGAGAAGTGTATCGACATTTATGACACCAAATAGGCATACCACGAAAATATATTTCATGATATATATATATAATAATACTTACTTGGTACTATAAATATAGATATTTTTCTGTTGTATAAATTTGGTCAAACTTAAGATGATTTGGTTTAGGACAAAATAGAATGACTTTCTTTTAGGGACGGAGGGAGTTGTTTTTAGTGTCTTTGCAAGGATATAGCTGTTAATCAGAGAAGGTGTGAACACAACCAGTTTGTTTAATTTTCAGCACAGTTTCCACTGTTTGCATGTTTTATTTGAACTATAAATTCTGAAGGTTGACCATCCATTTGAAAAGTGATTGAACAGCTTATGTTGAAAAGAAACTAGTCCTGAGCACAGGTAAACCTTGTGAGTTGCCTGATTGTTGAATAGTCTCATTTGGTGTCACAGACTGCATCTGTCAACAGTTGAACTCACTGGCAGCTGGTCAATTAAGCTGTAATTGGTGTTCTGCCTTCTCATGGTGATGCATTTTGCCAGCAAATCGTAATTTTATCATTTATAGTCATGGAACCATTGTAATAGCAAAAGTAGCATTTTCTCTACTGGTGTCCATTTCTGTTGACATGTTTCCTATGTGAATATTTTTTGGGTCACCAAAGCCAAAGTTACTTTTCTTGGAGTCTTGAGCATACTGTATTCTGTTTCCTTTTCAGTTTGTGTTTACAAAGTTCGTTTTCATGTTGCCTTAGTTCTTACATACTGAAGAACAAAAAGAAGAAAGTGATGTTCTTTGTCTTATTTTTATATTTAAGTACACATGGAATAAGCCAATTGGGGACATGAGCAGTTATGCATATAATTTTGTTGCCATTTTTTTGTTTGGTACATCTTTTTCAATTTGATATTTTAATTTGCTTTTGGTTTTTATGCTTATATAGTTTCTGCATCATATTTTGAGATCTATCAGGTGTTTTCAGGTATATCTTAATTTACCCACAAGGATGTGATGTCTGCAATCACCTCTCACTCTTTCTTTGTGTTGCCAACCATGATAAGCTACTCCCAGGTAGATGCATAATTTGATGCATTGTATTTGACTCACTTCAGTCTGTCATTCCTCTATATATCTTCAATATGATTTGCTTTTATTCAGGATGGAGTCATTTTGCGCAATTTACAATAGCTGTAATTAATAGAGACCCTAAGAAATCTAAGTATTCTGGTGAGTTCAATGAACTACTATCTTGCTTTCCTAGTGCCTAGAGCTAAAAAAGGAAGCTTTGGCTTGCCTTCTGCAACTGTAGTTTATGGAAAGTAGCATTTCAGATACACTGCATCGGTTTTGGAAGAAAGAGCATGATTGGGGTGGAAAAAAGTTTATGGAGCTGTCAAAATTACATGATGGCTTTATTGTTGAAGATGTTCTTACCATCAAAGCCCAAGTTCAAGTTATCAGGTATCTGTTTTTCTTTCGTCTTACATTCAACGCAAGCATCAATTATTTTCAAGTGGGAGGTATCTGTTTGCTTTGCATAACCATGTCTGCTTCTGCATTCTAATATTTGAGGGAGAAGACAGACCGTCCATTTCGTTGCCTTGATGGCCAGTACCGAAGGGAACTAATTAGGGTGTATCTATCAAATGTGGAACAAATATGCCGGCGCTTTATTGATGAAAGAAGAAGCAAGCTTAGCAGGTTGATTGAGGATAAACTGGGGTGGTCCAGGTTAGAAAACTTCTGAACGACACGTTAGTGTTTTATGGCCAGTCTCATTTCCAAGCCCTTTTTTTTAATTTTTGTTTCTTTGGCGTATTGTAGTTTCAGTGGATTCTGGCTAGCAATGGATCCAAGTAAAAGCGTCGATACATGACAAGGAAAAGACTGAAACTATATTGAAAGTTCTAGTGAAACAATTCTTTATAGAGAAAGAAGTTACATCAACCTTGGTAATTGACTCACTATATAGCGGACTTAAGGCACTTGAATACCAGAGCAAGAACAAAATGGGATACCTAAACTAACAGAGACAGATGCTCGGAGCACTCCAATGGTACTTATTGATCAGGACATGTTTGTTTTGGCTGATGATGTGATACTTCTGCTTGAAAGAGCTGCATTGGACACACTGCCACACCAACCATTGCCTACAAAGGATGATAAAAGTCCCCAAAATCGCACGAAGGTAGGCTTGTTTCTTTGACCCCTTGCACATTGGTTTATAAGGTATTAAGGTTAACGTCCATCCTAGGGGTTTCCAACTTGTAAGCAGTGGACTAGGACAGCTATTTACTGATGTGCTTTTTTTACATGTTCAATTTCAAAATTGAAAACAGTTTCATCATGGTGGGCATTTTATGTTGTGCAGACTGCAAAGGTCCACAGTTTTTCAGATCTTGTTCATATTAAATTAAAAATTATTTTCACAAAATGAACTTAACATTCCTACACCTTTCAGTCATGGCGTGTATCTGCGTTTACTGATTGAGTTACTGCTTCTGCTGCTGCTGCTGCTGCTGTTGTGTGTGTTTTCCTGCTCTGTGTTTGTGTTGGTGTTTTCTTCCTTGATATAATGACCGGCAGCTCTTCTGCCTATTCGAGAGGAAAAAAAAAACACTCCTATGCAGTATTGCTCTGAAATGGGGCCAGGACTTAGGAATCGTCTATGATTTGTATCTTAACGAGTTATGAACTGAAAAAGAAGAGCATGCATAATCTCCATTTCCTTACCCAATTTATCTCTCCATGAATTTTATCCTACTGATGTATGGAGCCCTAACAGATGCTCTTGTTATAGGATGGCAACTCAGGTGAGGAGTTCAGCAAAGATTCTATTGAGCGTGATGATAGACGGCTTATAGAGCTAGGCTGGAAGACATTGGAGCTTTTTGCCTTATCTCATATATTCAGGTAAGCAAACTTTTCTAGATGATTGTTCCAATATTTGGTCCACAAATGCATACTCTGGTCATATGTTAATGTCAGCAACATAAATTGTTGATTCTCAGTGGTGCATGGTTTGTTTGAGATGCCTTTTTTTTATGTTGCTTGTTTTATATGTTAGCACATAGCTGAAGAAGTTCTACTCCCGTTTGTGTAAAGTAAATTGTTGTATCAGGTTATGATAGTATGTTTTAAAATTATTTTTCTTGGGTAAACATAAATCTTCTTGATGAAATCCGTGAGTTCAAATCCCACTCCAGTTATGGTTGTGCATACGCATCTTACTTTATGAAGTCTTGAAACAGCCGAATAGAAGTGGCGCATCAAGAGGCTGTGGCTTTGAAGCGCCAAGAGGAACTCATTCGTGAAGAGGAAGCCGCTGGGCTAGCTGAAATTGAACTTAAGGCAAAGCGTAGTGCTGCTGAAAAGGAAAAACGTGCCAAGAAAAAACAGGTTAACATTTATTTTCTGGTGCAAGCATGTCATCCCCATCCTATTAATAATACTCCTTTTACACTTTCTTTTCTGGCATGTTTTATTTATTTTGTATGTGAAATTAGTGATTTCGTTGTTCCTAGTCCTCACGTTTGCCTTTAGTTTGTTTTTTGAATGTACTAATGATGATAAGTTATGTAGTATCCTTTTTGTATTTGTTGAGGAGTTTTATAATGTTCTATATCTCTCTAGGCAAAACAGAAGAAAAATAGTCGAAAAAGTAACAAGGGAAAAAGTGGCAAGTCCGACATCATTAAGGAAATACTTATGGACAGCAGTCCTTCAGATGATAGAATCCTGGATGATTTTTCTGGACAAACGGAAGAAATGTCTTCAAATGCTGACAACCCTGAAGAAGTTTCTGATATATCTGACAGCAGAGACGATAATTCAGATGTGCTTCATGTTGATATTGAAGACCGTGAATCTAGCCCTGTTAATTGGGAGACGGATGCTTCAGAAACTCAAGCTACAGTTCCTGGAAGTAGTGAGGTGCAAAATGACCATGCAGGGAAGAGGACCTCTACTGTGGATGATAGCTCATCGACTTGTTCATCAGACTCAGTCCCTTCAGTTACCGTGAATGGATCATATACAGGAGGTGCCTGGACAAGCGTCAGATCCTCATCCAATAGGTATATCTGTATGAGCTCCTCTATCTTACTATAGATTGGTATTGATCATGCTGTAGTATTGATCATGCTGTATTGTTGATTCAGGGGAAACAACCGTAGGAATAAGGATACTGAAGCACGGGCAGGATTTGCACAAGGTGGATCAAGTTCGGCGCATAATGGTTTTATAGGATCTGGCAGCAATGCCTCTGGCCACTCAAAGGAAAGACATGAACCTGAGGTATACATATAATGCTTGTTTCATCGAGGATTTAAAATGTGCCATGAAGCAATCCTTTTTTTCCCCCTAATTCTTCCTTAAGATAAACTTGTGTTGTAGAAAAGTCTTCTCTTCCAGGTTTTTTTTGCATCATCTATTTGTGTTCAACTTGGTTCAATAAGCATAAAAATTAATTCTTTGCAGGATGATAAAGTTGTCTTGCAGAGGAAGCAACATGCACAACGGCACATTGATGTCATTAGCCCCTCCAAGTCAAGAATGGCTGACTCTTCATTTTCTTCTGTGAGCCCTGTTAAGAAGCAACCTAACTTGTCTCGTCAACCAAAATTTTTGCTAGAAAGCACCAATAGTTTGAATCACCGCGCAAGCGAAGTTTCAGGCGCTGTGACTGCCACTACACCAGCAGGTGCCTCTTCAACCCCGGCAGCTCAGTTAGTTTCGAATAAAGGACCTGTATCCAGTGCTGCAACCCAGAATGAGAAGCCACTTCCAGTTACAAGTAGACCCCTGCAGGTGCTTGTACCATCCAAATCGGAAGCGCAGAAACAGGCTTCCCTAACTGGCAGTGCAACTACTCAGGTCGTTTCAGTATCAAGGCCCTTGAGTGCCCCACAGGTCCCCGCAGCAAAACAAAGTGCACCAGTCACTTCAACAGCTCAGAATGCACCTCTTCTTTCTCGTTCAATGAGTGCTGTTGGGCGGTTGGGAAATGAACCCTCTCAGTAATGCTCCTAGTTTCATTCCCGTTCACGAACATATCGCAATGCCATGATGGAGAAAAGTTCTGGTGGCGGAAGCAGTTTCACACATCAGCAAGGTTCATCCGAGCAAGCAGTTGCACCATCGCAATCGATGTTTACATCGCAACCTTCCGTTCTGTCATCAGAGACCTTGTCTAGGAAAGAGGAAACGTCATTGAGACCTGGGTTTACATTTGGGACTGTAAAGCCCGAGTCACTGAACCCATATCAGGGCAGAGAAGAGAACTCACAGCAAGCGAGCAGCAGCAGCAGCAACAGTAGTGATTGTACGCCATCGAGTTCGAACATCAGAAGCGAGATTGCGAAGCTCAATTTGAATGGAAGATCACGAAGCAAGCAACTGTTGTCAGAAATTTCTACCAGATTTACTCCCTATCAGCCACAAGGCTTGGTCGCTGATGAGTTCCCACACCTAGACATCATCAACGACTTGTTGGATGAGGAGCAGAGTGACAGGAGAAGGGTTCTTCAACCTGGTTTTGTTCAACAATTCTCTATGCCTAATGGTGCCAGCACACCTGATTATGGCTTGTTTGGTGAGCCATACTTGTTTGACCAGTCCGAGCAATACTTTGACGAGGAGCCTCCAAGGTTTTATAGTCCATTGAGCAGTGCTCCTCGGAGGCTGAGGGACCGGAGCTATTCACACTTTGATCTCCCTTCATACTCCAGCAGCAGCCAGTTTGATGATCTGATGATGAGTCAGTGGCCATACAGCCGCACTGACATCTCCATGCCTAGTTTTGGGTCAGACACAAGTGGCTACCCGTACCAGGCGCAGGATTTCCCGAGTTCAGCGAATGGAGCAAGCAGGTACCCATCGTACCGCCCTGCCAATGGGCATTGAGAGTTTTAGTGATTGCATTGATAATAATGTGTGGTCGAGTCCATGCTGTTCGCTTCTGAGCTGAGTGTAATTGTAATAGTTCCCCATAGCAGTGATATAAAGAATGGTTCCTCAGTTTCCTTGTTAAATCAATAGTTATATCCTTTTTCCCCTTTTCTATAGTTCAGTTTTGCCCAATGGTAATAAATCTAAGTCGGTTAAAATGATCTGGCTAATCTAGTCAATCGTGTTCTGAAATGTGTACGATGCAAGCAAATGGTAGGGTGTTTTTAAGCCATGCCAATGCTTGAGCTGATGCTACATTGACTGGGAGTATTTCTTGTTTCTTCCTCTGACGAGTGACGAGGTGTTATTGATCGTCTCGTGTTCTCTTTGTATATATCAGAGTAAATTCTGGGAATAGCCCATGGATATAAACTAATTATCTGTTGCACATTCTGAACTTTTGAAGGTATGGTTGATTATGCCATGGATGGATAAGCTATAAAGTAAAATGCGATAGGGTCACTGCGTTTTGTACCATCTTTTTATTTTCTCGAACTGTTTTGTGCCATCTTTTTTTTTCTGAATGATCATGCCATCTTTTTTTGGGTACAATGTACAAATAAATTTTTTTGCTGTAACAAGCAAGACGTGTAAATTCATAATTTCTGTTCCAGTTTAGAAAGAATTATTATTGCTAGCATATCCAAATCTTGTGTAGGGTACAATTGGTGTTGCTGATGCTTTGTGTGTTCCACTTCCACATAAACTGAGAGCAACACCAGCCACATAATTTTTGTTCCAATTTAGGGGACTCATTATTGCTTGTGTATCCAAATCTGGTGTACGGTACAATTGGTGTTGCTGATGCTTTGTGTGTTCCACATAAACTGACATAAACTGAGAGCAACACCAGCCACCCAGGAATAGCGGAGAAATTCCCATTATCGGGCATAAAATAGTGATTGTAATTGATTCTTGTAACTATCGGCAAGACGGGGAAAATGACCTGCATCGAGCTTGAAAGAAAAATCTGCAGCGGACATAAAAAAGTATACTTGTTGAATCTAAAGAAGAATAAGAAAGTACTGCAGCAGGCTGACGCTGATCTTTTGCTAGTAGCAAATAGATTGGAGTTAGATCTAGCCTCATGAGAAATACGGCACTCATCAAATTGATTCTGAATCCGATCGACTTCCATCTCGCATCGTGTTCGTGTCCTCACAACTGGAGTCGAGCCAATCCAAGGATAGGTCTTGACTCATTGGCAATGAGGGCCTGGCATTGTACTTGAGCACAATAATATCCAATGGAAATTTTTCTATAGTAAAAATTCTTTACATGCAATTGGCACGAACTTAAATCCCTTATTGACCACCTAAAAAAACGTTATTCCCATAGATACTATTTGTGCTAAACTGTAATCCTTTCCATAGGTAATTGATTGAGTAAGCATATGAACATCCAGATGTTAGTATTGTTCTACTAGTTATTCTCAAATCATAGAGGTGATCAGCAATAAGCGAATGGGAGGCTCGGCTATGTGTTTTCCTCCGTATTGTTCTCTACTAAAATATAGCAGCGAGTGCATAAAACAGCTATGCATGCACGCACGCAACGCTCCTTGTTTTGACTAGGCGTAGTAATGACTACTACCCTCGTTACGTCAGCCCGCACCTGTTGTGTTATTGTGGCCAAAAAAAAAAAAAAAAAGGTTGCCTGCCAGATAAAAAGGGAACTGAGGGAGTAACTAGGCCTCAAATGAATAGATTTGTCTGAAGTTCCAACTTCTAAGGTTGCATATTAGTGAACTAATCTATATCATGCGTTTAGTTGGAAGACAAAATGATATTTTTGATGTACAGCCAAGACTATCAATATATGACTAGCAATGGCGTCAAAGAAATTAAAATATAACATATAGTGTGGCATTGATTAGACGACAGATAAGAATAAACTTTTAGCCAATGCCTAAAAATTTAGAATAGATAAACCAACCAAACTTCTATTTCTTTTAATTTTAAAGAAGGACAATAATATATTTGTTTGAGCCGAGAACCAAGAGAATTACCCAACACAAGTTGGGTACCCAAAAAGCCCAACTCCATGGATGGCAAATCGGGAAATGACCCAGCGATCCGCAGCCCGGAGGCCCTGGCTTTGACCTAAATACCCCTCCCCCGTCCGGTCTCATCTCCTCCTCCCCCGCCGCCCCCCGTCTTCCACCATTGCCCCTCGCGGCCTCGCCTCGCCTTCCCCCAATTTCTTTCCACGCCTCTTCCTCTCTTTGCCCTCGAGCCGCTTCCCCTCCCTGCCCCTGCGCGGCCTTCAAATCCACCCGCTGTTTCCCCGCCCTCCCCTTGGCGCGCAGCTCCGGAGCGCCGGGCGCCGCGGCGCCGTGCGGTGGGTGGGCTCTGCTTCTTGGTACTGGCCCGTCGGTCCCGTCGCTCTCGCGGCGATTCCGAATTTCCGATTGCTTGCTTGCTGATGGCTGTGGCTACTCCCGGTGCGATGGCTGCGTGAAGGTTGGATTGGGTCTGTCTCCTGTCGGCGACGGGATTGGATCTTGGCGAGGTTCCAGAAGCCGAATTGCTCTGCTGCTGTGTCTGTTGGGAGTGGATAGCCGCCGGCGCCGCTGCGATTTCCTTTCCGGTGAGCTTTCGCGATGCTCCTACCTTTGTTCCTGGATCTTGTCCCCCATGGGTTTCATCGCCTTTCAATTCGACTCATTTGGTTGATGCTCTTTGCTGTGTCAGGCACTCTGTTTCTTGGCGTGGTGATACGCAGATATGGCGAGCCACGAGCTGGTCCTTGGGCACGGGCAGGACGCGGAGCTGGCGCTGGGGTCGAGCCACCACGACTTCGGCCAGGACCACGGGCTGGGTCTCGGCCACGCGCACGACCTCGACCTCGGCGGCCACGCGCACGATCACGAGCTCGTCCTGGGCCAGTCGCACGAGCACGACCACCAGCTCGTCCTCGGGCACCACCACGATGACGACCACCAGCTCGTCCTCGGGCACGACCATCACCACCACCACCACCACGGCCACCACGCCGGCGAGCTGGCTCTGAGGCAGGGCCATGAGGGGGACTCTGGGGCACTGGAACTGGAAGTGCAGGGCCAGCACCATGACGAGCTTGACTTGTCGGAGAGCCACGAGCTGACGCTTGCCGAGACGCACCACCTGGGCGTTGATCAGAATCTTGACCAGCTCTCACTCGAGCAGGCTCATGAGCTCGCGCTGCAGCCACATGATCTCTCCCAGGGTCCTCTTGCGGTCGCTCCTGTTGTCCAGTCACGGACCATGGTTGTGAGCCCTGAGTTTCAGCTCACAGTGGGGCAGGAGTTTCCAGACGTTATGAGCTGCCGCAGGGCCATCCGCAACACTGCCATCGCCTGCCACTTTGAGATACAGACGGTGAAGTCTGACAAGAGCCGCTTCACCGCTAAGTGTGCTGCTGAGGGCTGTCCGTGGCGTATACATGCAGCAAAACTCCCCGGTGTGCCCACCTTCTCCATCAGAACCATACATGACAACCACAGCTGTGTGGGGATCAACCATCTTGGCCATCAGCAGGCATCTGTTCAGTGGGTTGCAAACACGGTTGAAGAGAGGCTCCGTGAGAACCCACAATGCAAGCCCAAGGAAATTTTGGAAGAAATCCACAAGGCCCATGGGATCACACTATCCTACAAGCAAGCTTGGAGAGGTAAGGAGCGGATCATGGCTGCGGTTCGAGGGTCTTTTGAGGAAGGATACCGTCTCCTGCCTGAGTACTGTAGGCAGGTGGAAAGAACAAATCCAGGAAGTATAGCTCGAGTCTATGGGAACCCAGATGACAATTGCTTTCGGCGACTCTTCATATCATTCAATGCATCAATATTTGGTTTCGTCAATGCATGCCGTCCACTTATTGGGCTTGATAGGACCCTTCTGAAAAACAAGTATCTTGGTACCTTGTTTCTTGCCACTGGTTTTGATGGGGATGGTGCTCTCTTTCCTTTGGCATTTGGCGTGGTTGATGAGGAAACTGATGATAACTGGGTGTGGTTCTTGTCTGAGTTGCATGAGTTGCTGGAGAAGAACACAGAGAACATGCCAAGGCTCACCATCCTGTCAGATAGACGGAAGGGCATTACTGATGGAGTTGAATTCAACTTCCCAACTGCATTCCATGGGTATTGTATGCGTCATGTTAGTGAAACCTTCAAAAAGGAGTTCAACAATCCAGTGCTTGTCAACCTTCTCTGGGAAGCTGCTCATGCACTGACTGTGATAGAGTTTGAAACTAAGCTGCTAGAGATAGAGGACACGTCACCAGAAGCTGTTGTTTGGATAAGGCACTTACCTCCTCGTCTTTGGGCCACAGCTTACTTTGAGGGGATAAGGTACGGTCATCTAACAGCAAATATCACAGAGTCACTAAATTCCTGGATACTGGATGCCTCTGGCCTTCCTATAATTCAGATGATGGAATGCATCCGTCGCCAGCTGATGACTTGGTTCAACGAGCGACGCGAAGCAAGCATGCAGTGGAACACAATCCTTGTGCCTGCAGCCGAGCGCCGGGTGCAAGAGGCCATTGAGCGTGCACGGGGCTACCAGGTGGCCCGGGCCAACGAGGCGGAATTCGAGGTCATCTCAGCTCACGAGGGAACAAACATTGTGGACATCCGCAACAGGTGCTGTCTGTGCCGGGGGTGGCAGCTCTATGGCGTGCCGTGTGCCCATGGTGTGGCGGCGCTCCTCTCCTGTAGGCAGAACGTCCACCGCTACACCGAGAGCTGCTTCACGGTGGCAACATACCGCAAGACATACTCGCAGACCATACACCCGATCCCAGACAAGACCCTCTGGAATGAAACGGCAGATCATGAAACAGCAGATCAAGGACAGGCTGACGAGATCAAGGCGCAGATGATCATCAACCCACCGAAGTCGCTGAGGCCCCCAGGACGTCCGAGGAAGAAGAGGGTACGAGCGGAGGATCGCGGGCGAGTCAAGCGGGTCGTTCACTGCAGCCGCTGCAACCAGACTGGACACTTCAGAACCACATGTGCTGCTCCAATATGAACAATGGCATGATGATGGTGCAAAATACCACTGCAACCACTTGAGAACTTCTTTGTTATTATTAATTATAGCTGCAGTATTCCTGTGACAAGATAGTGTCTACTTGTGCAAGTTTCTTGCTTGCAGATGGTCTTCTTTGGTTATTATACTTGGCTACTGCTGTTGTTCTAGCATTAGTAGTTGAATAATGTTAATTTCAAGTTTGTTTCATAGCACTGGAAATCTGCAATGACTTTTTTTTTAAATACCATCAAAAGAAACTGTGTAAAATACTGGTCCAAAGATGGCATTGTCTTCAGTTTAGCAAATCCCAATTTTGGCAAACGGTTCCGGGGGAGGAGCAACGTGTCGTTTGCGGCCTGGTATAAATAATACATAAGTCAAAATAATTGCTGCTTGTTCTTCTAATTTTGTCACCAAATTTCTTTTGCTCAGATCTTTCAAATAGCTGTGGTTACTGTTATGCTGTATTTAATCCCTGAAGAGAAAACTTAAGACAAAACGTAAGCGCAGCAACATCAGATTCTGACAAAATTCCTACATCGATGATACATGTACATTCTGCATGTTACAATACACAAGTTTCTTGTAATAACCAAAAAAAGGAGAGAACAAAATCAGCTCACCATTTACAAACTACATCAACGATCAGTACAAAATCAATCATATGCTCGGGGTCAGCTGAGCTTCCGCTACTTGTGGTGTCTGAGTGTCTAACCCGGGAAACTGGCCGATATCATGTCCTTCAACTGCATTTAGGTCCTCGTGCAGACCAATCGCAAACTCTTCAGGTCGATCTCCGTTGCTCACAAAGTAGTCAGCTATCTGAATTATCATCGCAAAAAAGAAAGCTATCTGCATTAGCAATTGAACTAACATTTATTTTCTTTTAGTCAACTATAATAAGCTTCTTATCAGCGACAAAGATGTGCTATAGAATGTTCTAAAAATAGCAAAGGATATCTGAATTTTACATGGTTTGCGAGCGACATCCCGCTTAAAACAGCCGCTTCTATGCTTGAACCAGTAAGCCAGTCACCGCAGATGCCTGCTCGCCCTAGGGGATCAAATATGCATGAAACTCCTGGAGTGTTCATGGGCAGAGCTGCACCCCTGTGATTTCAACGATAATTCGTACTCGTGTTTTAACTTAATGGAGAAGTAGAAGTATAAAAGATATAAGGAATGGATTTGTTATACCATAACTGCACTCTTGTGTAAATTGGTTGCTGAAGAGATCCTTTGGATAACCCTAAAGCATGTTCTACTCCTCCAAGCATGTCTTCCTTCACCTTTTCTGCCGTGACTTTTGGGATATTTTCCTGAAATTAACAGCTTAACCCATTTGAGACGTCAACTGATAAAGCTGAAATAACTTGGAATCTTTATTCTGTCTGTCAAGCAATCAATACTGGGGGAGTGCAAGTGCAACAAAATGACATGACAAGAAAAACTGAAAAATTTCAGCAAACAAGACCTGTGGGACTTTGTTTCTTTTTCCATAAGCAGCAGTACTGAAAAGTGTCCAGCACTCAGGTGTGCCTGTCTGCATTGGAAAAAGTTTGCGGGTATTGTTGCCCATCCAAGAGAGAGAATCGACATCTCTCACAAATGCTCCTTCAAATGCTCCATGAGAATCAATACGTGGAACTGGAAGAGGATCTTCAAATGCCGCAAGGAGTGCCCAGACAGAACTGAGCTCTAGTCTCTGATCATTGATTGAATGAAACATGGTAAGAAATAGGAATTAAAGGATATATGCCTCATGAGTTCAAAATTATTTGCAATAGTAAAACCATGAAACCTTCATTTGTTTTGTTAGTAATGGCAATCCTGATGTAGAGAGCAGACGGTTGGCACATTTCCCTGATCAATGTGTAAGATGTCATTTAGATGATAGGGTGAATGTACAAATATGGACGTGTCGCAAAACAAAAGGTTATCATACCAATGTGATAATTGGGCAATATTTTTTTACCATTTGTGCTATTTTATTCAATAATGTAGGCCATCGGGGTTGCATAAAACATGTGGAGCTATAGAGAAAGAACATAATTGAAAAGTCTGAACTTCAGAAATTTACTGCCTAACTTTCAAAAACTGAGCAAAAATATGTAACCATGCTTTGGCTACAGAAACAGTATTTTCCCCATTAGAAAGGAGTTTGTACTGACCGTTATGAGCTATCACAATGGCATCGTATTCACCACGAGGCTTTTCATTCTCAAACAAGCGCCACAAACCATTGAACGGCTCAAGTTTGCTTATCCAACAAGGCCTCAAAACTTTAATCATATCAGTCTGCAGAATGCATCATGCGACTCAGCAATTGGATTACCATTCATCAGCCAAGTGAAGAACTGAACATAACTCAAAGGTTCAGCAAACCATTGAGTTTTAACTTCATGTTACTTGGATTGAACTCTGAGAACAAAATCAGGACAAGTCTCTAGAGGAGGATATGATGTGCAATGTTTGGTGAATTCATGGTTAAAGCAACTGGATAGCAATGAATATGGATCACTTCATACTACTACACAACACTTCCATGGAGCTTGAATAAGGTGGAGTTAATCAGATATACCTCAGGCAGCATTGCATCTGCAAGTGGGCGCATCCCATTCACACCGATGTACCTCGGTGTCAACGAATGTATCGGCCTGAAACGGCCACCGGCTTCGAGCTCGCCGACCAAGCCACTCCACTCACGGACCAGCCCACTGTCGAGCCACTCGTCGACCAGCCTCTGGAACCTCTCGTCGCTCGCGGTGAAGAACTGCGCCGCGTGGTCGAACACCAGCTGCTCGCCGCCGTCGACGAACCTAGTCGCCATCCTGCCCCCAGGCCGTGCATCCCCTGCATCAGCAGCGAGCCTGTGCGGTGAGCCACTGAGCCTCCCGCGCTAGTGGATGGTGTGGAGGCAGGGGAGGGGAGGCAAACGGGAGCGATACGAACCGTGTCGAAGACGACGGAGCGGACGCCGCGGGCGGCGAGGGCAGACGCGCAGGAGAGGCCGGAAGCGCCGCCGCCGATGACGGCGACGGTGGGGTCGGCGGGGACGGGGGTGGAGAACACGACCTGCTCCTGGTGGAAGCTCTTCTTGATTGCCGAACGCCGCGAGAACCCGGGCTTACCGCGCCGCCCCCGCCGAGGGGCCGCCCTCGGCGGAGTCGCGCCTCCGCTGCCGGAGGCGGCCACCACCCTGGCGAGGTGGGCCACCGGGAGCGCGGTGGCAGCGGCGGCGATGGGAGGCGGCGGCATCACACTGCTCGACGAAATGCGGGAGCGCTATTGCGCGAACGGCGAACCGGACCGTTATCTGTTTATTATACGGGGTTGGATTTCTCTTCTTCTTCAACGACTGATTGCAGTGGATGAAGTGAACCATCCGATTGTAACAGATACCTGATATAATCCATCACTCGATCCCAAAATAATTGCATTTCTAACATTAAAAGTACTTTCGAGATAAAAAAAATAAAAATAAAAGTACTTTTAGTTTATAGATCACCTAAATGCCAGTAAGGTTTACTACTCTCGTATACGATCGTGAATTATAAGCTGGAATAGTATTTTTCTCTAACACCAAACCAGCCAATAGTAAATAATCCACGAGGCTGTGTATTGACGGGTATAGTTTCAATTTCATAGTAGTATTGATATTTCTCCCACGTCCTAGAAGTGTATTTGTTTTAAGATGGAGAGCATTTTTGCTAGCATTCTTTGGTCCTGACTCCTATCGGTGCCACGTTCAATTTCTCATCAATTCGATTTGGATGCTTATTTCTTTTTTACAACCAATAAAGTTCACATAGTTTCTCTTAGTTTGACCAATATTTCTTTGCAATGTCGAATATTTTTTCCTCTTGAGGATATGCTCCATCAGTGTACTACATCTGTCCGCAAAAAAAATCAAATTCTAAATGTATTCTTTGTCAAAGTACCTGAAGTTTGATCAAATATTAATCAGCCTATTCGCTTGGTCGTAATTAGTTTATAAGCCATGGCTTATCAGCCAACGAACATTATTTTTCTCTCATACTAAACCAGCCAATAGTATTTTCAGCCATGACTTATAAGCCAAACAAGCCCAAATGAATAGGGCGAATGTTTATAACGTCAAATAAGTATATTATGAACATGTTTCATGATGAATATAATGATATTTATTTAGTAGATAACATATTTAAAAATTTCTAATACAAATGTAATTAAACTTATCATACTTTAACGTAACATTGTCTAAAATTATATTCTTTTGAGACGGAGGGCGTATCTGATTACACCTCTCTAATTTAATACAGTATCTAGTACTCGCTCTTTGCCTCCGAAGATTACGGAGTTGATGTACTTTGATCTTTGTTAGACATTCGGCATGCAGGTGGCAGTGACATCATTGTTGCATGCGTCACATCACAATATATTTTTATCACATACAGGTGGCAGTGATGGCACGTGGGGAGTCTCTGCTCTGGCTGCCTCCACTTCTTATTCACATGCACGCAGCCCGCAACCGCAGCAGGTGGCTACGCCAACATTCAGAAGAGAGGAAGGGACAGCGGATGCTTAGCCGACGTCGGAAGGAGGAGACACCGAGGCAAAGGTAAGACAGCAGAAAAGCGAAGACAGATCCACTTTTGAAATATCAAAATAAAACACTTGCAATATATGTCTGAAGGCACATGAAATAAATGAATCATGCATCTGAAACACTAGCTGCAACACCAGATCTACTTTTGAAATATCCAGATAAAACACTTGCAACATACATACGAAACAGCTGAAACATTCGAAACATGTGTATTAAACATTTGCAAAAAAAACACCTGAAAACACTTCATATGTGTGAAAAACATATGCAACATCTAAATGAAATACTTGCAAACGTACATATGGAAATGAGATGAAATATTTGAAACATACACTAATAACATACGTGTATAGCCACCGCAACATGTGCAACATTCCGATCTATTTTTGCAACATCAAGATGAAACACT